CAGCGTGGTCAGTTGCGACTTGCGTACGTGGCGTCTGAGGCCAACACTGCTGATGTGTTCACCAAGGCACTCGCGCCTTGTGACCATCAGCACTTTTGCACCCAGCTGGGTCTTGTGCCTGTCTTGCCTCACTTGCTCTCCTCTTGACTTCACTTGTACTGTGACATATATATATCTACCTGCTCTTGCTTGTCTAGTTTTTATATATATGTCTGTACTCCTGCATGTGAACTGGCCTCTGGCCGTGCTCTTGTGCTCGGACTGTGTGGTGACTTTGTGATCCACCCTGAGCTTGCTTTGCTTTGCTTGACTGGTCTTGTGACCCCTTGTTCTCCCCCACTTTGCCTATGGGGGTGTGTCAAACATTATATATGTTATGCTTGTGTAGGCTACAGTGGGTTAGCCTATAGGGGGTACACAATTCTAGGGTTTCCTACTTGTACTCATTTCACTGCTAGTTCATCCATTCCTGTTCACTTCTTTCACAGTCTTCAACCGCTTAGTTCCGGCCTTTAAAAACCGCGGGGGCGACGACAAAAGCGCCGATACGGGTATGTAAAACCAGTTCCGCGCAATTTTTCTAAGTCCCCCTCGATTCGGTTTTCGAACATCCCTCAGATTTACTGGTGGAAAGGTTGGAGTTTCGACCGTTCGATCGAGTTTCATCTCAACGGCCCAGAGAATTTCGCCCAAAAAAGTTGGAATTTGGAGCGTCGGATCGATTTTCTTCTCAACGGCCAAGATCGGACGCGAATTTCGCCTAAGGGAGATTTACGCAACTTACAGAATTCGCGCTCGTCGATTCTTCAGTCAATTTGACTCGCAGTAAGTCGACCAGCACCTAGAATTCGATTATTTTTGTCGCGCATCTTCCTGTAAATCGCCAAATGGAGGGGAAAGGAGATATTTCAGTACACAAAATTGCGGAGTTACGTGCTGAGCATAAGCAAATACGTGCAGCGCTCCCACGACTCGAAAAACTCCTTGCGAACCAGTCGGCAACCGCCATAGCAGCAGCGACAACAGTAGCAGCAACAACAGCGGCAACACCGACAATTCTACATGCGACAACGGCAGCAGCTACAGTTAACCTCGAAGCAGTGAAGCTGAGGCTACCGGAGGCGTTCGATCCTAAAGTAAAAAGGAACGACGTTCGTCGATTTGTAGCTGAACTCGAAATTTACTTCGAAGCCGTTAGATGCACGACCCCAATAAAAGACGCAATGCGCATACGGCTCGCAGCAACACTGTTACGAGGCCCAGCTCTAGAGTGGATCAACAACAGAATAGTCCAAGGCGAGGGGACGTGGGCGCAGTTTCTGGCAGCACTGATCGAACAGTTCGACACGTTGAACAGTAGCTACTACGGAACACGACGCAACAAGCCAACTAGTGGCATGGGGCGATTGGCACCACCCACGACTGCCGACCCGATGGAGAACGACGAGGGCGATGTGGAGCAGCGGCTAGCAAATAATGAGACGTGCAAATTTTGCGGCGCTACAGGACATCGTATCTTGGCGTGTTGGAAAATGAAGAGAAGGTGTGCGGAGCTGAAGGACAAGAACAGTGCGGCACCCCCGAAGCAGAAAACGGACAACGTGGCAACTTCGGAGAGGGCGAAAAAAGGAGAATATGGTGGCGCAAATTTAAAACGTCACGACCAGCCGGCACCAGGGGAAATCGCCGAGACTAATGGAGGATCCGCGAAACAAGACCCTGCACCGACTGGGCAACTCCAGCCGTATACCCCGACAAGTAAGAATATTACTTCTCGTGGGTTTCAAGCCTTTATTAAGGGAGAGTAAGAAATTAAACCGGTACCGGGTATTATGGGGACCCTACTCCAGAGCGCTAATACGGGTCGAGCGTTCCGAGGAGTTAATATTCTCTCCCAGCAGCACTGTTTAAAGGCTCCCTGTTCCCCACAGATGAAGCCTACACAGCTGCAAAGGCTTAGTGGAAGGTTCCAGGCCCAAGAGAAGCCGAATCGGCCTCGGATAAATCCTTCTAACCTTTCTCAGTTGAAAACTGATACTGAAGCTGCATCTTTGAGCGCAGGACCTAGGGAAAACATATTCGACGTACCCTACGATCCTATAAGCGATACCATCTACGGATACTCGGAGCAGCAGCAACCACTAGTACTCGAGGTGATCTGCAACGGGCGTCGCCTCCAGACCCTGGTGGACAGTGGTGCGTCCCACTCGGTGTGCGACTGCGGGACGTTGGAGAAAATTGGAGAATCCTAAGAAGAAACCCAGTTTAGAGCAACGATGGTGGATGGTACGAAGCTTCCCATCCACGAAAAGTCAACACTGCAGCTGCAGATAGGGGCGTTGAGGTGGAAGCCGACGTTGCCGATCACGAACATCAAGGGATTAGATTTCATCTTGGGGCAAGATTTTTTGAAGCGGTTCAACCCCAAGATCGACTGGGTCAACCAAAAAACGTGCATCTACAACAACGGGAAACGAGTGGAGCTGCGAAGCTTGACGGATACAGTGGACATACCTGAAACGACACTGGCACGGTTCGAACGGACAGTGAACGAGAGTAACACGGGTTACTTAGCACTGGTTATAGAAGCAGCAGAGGAGGAGGTCTTGTAGCAGTACAACGATATAATGACCGACGACCTACCCACAGGTGTATCTCCAGCACGCACCCACGAGCACGAGATCGTGGAGGAACCAGGTGCGAAACCCGTCTCGCGTGCACCATACCGACTGAGTCCGACTGAACTGACACACATGAAAAAAAAGATAGAGTATCTACTAGACAGACAACTGATCCGCCCATCCACCTCTCCCTACGGTGCACCAGTTCTCTTCACTCCAAAGCCAGACGGTAGTTTACGGATGTGCATCGACTACCGCGCACTGAACAAACAGACAGCACTGACTACAGCGCCAGTACTCATCCTACCGGATCCAGACAGAGACTACGTGGTGGAAGCAGACGCTAGTGACCAAGCAGTCGGAGCAGTACTGATGCAGCATCACGAACGCAGTTTGCAGCTCATCGCCTACCTCAGTAAGAAGCTATTACAGTGGAAGAAGGACTTAGCTGTAAGGAAGGGTTCAGGAAAGATTTGGGTACCGAATTATGCCCCGCTACGGCAGATCCTATTGGAGGAGTTTCACGACGTACCTTACGCGGGACATTTCGGGAGCAACAAGACGTTAGCAGGGATAGCGAAGTATTACTACTGACCCTGGATGGCAGCAGACGTGCAGCAGTTCGTCACCTCTTGCGACACGTGCCAGCGGATGAAGAGCAGCAAGCAGAAAAAAGCAGGGTTACTTCAGCCTCTACCCGTACCAGAGCAGCCATGGCAGGTCGTTAGCCTTGACTTCATCACAGGGCTTCCTTCGACCTCACGGGGACATGATTCCATCCTCGTGGTGATCGATAAGTTCTCCAAAATGGGTCACTTCATACCGACCAACGCCACAGCTACAGCTGAAGCAACCGCTCGACTCTTCTTCGACCGCATCATCACCATCCACAGCATCCCCGCTACACTCATCTTAGACAGAGACCCCAAATTCACGAGTAAGTTCTGGAAGGAGCTCATGGGACTGTTGGGGACAAAGCTTGCAATGTCTTCAGCATACCACCCCCAGAGTGACGGACAGACAGAGCGACTCAATCAAGTGGTTGAACAGTTACTGCGCACAGCTTGCAAGGACGACGTCAGCCATTGGGACACACAGTTACCGACCCTAGAGTTTGCTTACAACAACGCATCACATGCGGCCACAAGGAAAACTCCTTTCTTCCTGTGTTACGGACGAGAACCACTCACACCACAGCAGCCAACCACACCGGCATACGTCCAGGCCGCACATGACTTCGTCACCACCATGCAGCAGCTATGGGAGAAGACTCAGCGACGTCTCACCACGATGCAGAACTCCCAGAAGCAGTATGCCGATCGTCAGCGACGCGATCACTCAGTAGCAGTCGGAGATCAGGTGCTTCTTGACACGCGCAACTTGAACCTGTCTCACCTTCCATCCAAACTCCGGCCTCGCTTCTGTGGTCCTTTTCTCGTTGAGACACAGGTGATACCAGTTACATTCCGCTTGCGCTTACCAGATACATGGAAGCTTCACAACGCTTTCCATGTCCAGCTACTGAAGCCCTACAAGGACCCCAACCAACAGTTCCAGGGACGGCAGCTACCGCCACCACCACCTGCTCTCATACAGGATGAACCCGAATACGAAGTGGAGCGTGTTCTCACTCATCGGCGACGCGGCGGCAAGACCCTCGAGTTCCTGATACGCTGGAAGGGATACGACCCCACTGAGGACAGCTGGGTTGCAGAAGCTGATATGGGCAACGCACGCCGTGCTCTCAAGGACTATCTTGTCAAGCAGGGTATATCTCACGCCACCCAGCTTTGAGGGGGGGACGTGTGAGAGTACGACGGCTTATGCCAGCTATGCTTGCTTGCCTCTAATTTATCATGCTATTTCTAGCATAGGATAATCATTTGCATACATGAATTGCTTGATTTCCTAGGCTAGGTGCTTTCCTATATTTTATTATAGTTATAGCACCGAGCTAGGTTGCGTGCACCGAATTCTGGCTTTTCGGTTGCCACCGAATTGCCTTCTACCGAATTCGGTAAGGATCTGTTCAGGACGCTTCGCGACACGCGGAACCTTCGCGCAACACATGGTTACGGGGCCTTGTGTCGAGCCTATATACAGCCTCGTGTTGTACCCAGGTGATAATTCAATTCAATTTGAATCATCTTTTCTGAGCTCGATCCCAGATCCTCACAGTACCTTAGGTGAGATTATGGCATATTAGTTTAGTTCTTACTAGCTATCCCTACGGCCAATCAACCGATTCTCTGCCAATTCCTGAGTTTCACAATGCAACCCGTGCCAAGTCCCTTCGTAGCTGCAGTTCTTCCTAGAAGAGCCGCTGATGTTACCTCAAACCCGGCTGTGGGTACCTTTGGCTCTCCGGAAGCCATCGCGATGCACAGCAATGGGCGAGCCCAAGACGAGCCCGAGGACGACATGTTTGCTGAAGGTACGTCTCACTCCTCGTAACCATTCGTATGAACAACTGACATGCGCACTGTCGGGTCAAACGACTTAATCTACAAAATGTACTAATTGCTATTTCTGTTTGTTTTATAACCCTTTGCCACAGGCTCGAAATTCGTGTCGGTGAACAATGTGTCGATCACGGGTGGTACTAAGCGCCAGACCCGTGCGAGGAAACCTAAAGAAGTGTGGAAGGGGAAACGTTCTACTTTTGTCCGCACGGGCAAGAAAGGCCGCGCTGATGCACTTGGTGATGGCAGTTGTGGAGCAGACACATACACTCAAGGCAATGGTCAACATGCATATAACGCCTCCTTTCCAGCTGCAGCCGCCACTATCTCTCCCTCCTCCGCCTATGTCAACGCAATGGCGGCGACTCATCAGCTCGCCGCCACTCAGTCAGTCCCTGGCCTGCCCTCCGCCTCTGCCTCCCTTTTAGCTGCAGCCGCCACTATCTCTCCCTCCTCCGCCTATGTCATCGCGGCGACTCATTAGCTCGCCGCCTCTCACACAATCCCTGGCCTGCCCTCCGCCTCTGCCTCCCCTTCAGCTGCACCCGCCACTATCACTCCCTCATCCGCCTAAGTCAACGCAGCGGCAGCGACTCATCAGCTCGCCGCCACTCAGTCAGTCCCTGGCCTGCCCTCCGCCTCTGCCTCTCTTTCAGCTGCAGCCGCCACTATCTCTCCCTCCTCCGCCTATGTCAACGCAGCGGCGACTCATCAGCTCGCCGCCTCTCACTCAATCCCTGGCCTGCCCTCCGCCTCTGCCTCCATTTCAGCTGCAGCCGCCACTATCACTCCCTCCTCTGCCTATGTCAATGCAGCGGCGACTCATCAGCTCGCCGCCTCTCAGTCAGTCCCTGGCCTGCCCTCCGCCTCTGCCTCCCTTTCAGCTGCAGCCGCCACTATCTCTCCCTCCTCCGCCTATGTCAATGCAGCGACTCATCAGCTCGCTGCCTCTCTGTCAGTCCCTAGCTTGCCCTCCGCCTCTGCCTCCCCTTCAGCTGCACCCGCCACTATCTCTCCCTCCTCCGCCTATGTCAACGCAGCGGCGACTCATCAGCTCGCCGCCTCTCAATCATTCCCTGGCCTACCCTCCACCTCTGCCTCCCTTTCAGCTGCAGCCGCCACTATCACTCCCTCCTCCGCCTATGTCAACGCAGCGGCGACTCATCAGCTCGCCGCCTCTCACTCAATCCCTGGCCTGCCCTCCGCCTCTGCCTCCCTTTCAGCTGCAGCCGCCACTATCTCTCCCTCCTCCGCCTATGTCATCGCGGCGACTCATCAGCTCGCCGCCTCTCACACAATCCCTGGCCTGCCCACCGCCTCTGCCTCCCCTTCAGCTGCAGCCGCCACTATCTCTCCCTCCTCCGCCTATGTCAACGCAGCGGCGGCGACTCATCAGCTTGCTACCCGGATCTCTCCCTCCGCTGCCTATGTGCACGTCTCGGTTCCTGGCCAGTCCAGGCCCGCCGTTGTACCTGGATCGACCTCCCTGCCACCTACTCCTAGTTCACTCTCACCCTCGCCCTCCTATATCAATCCTGGGTTGCACCCAACCAACTCAGGTCAGCCTGGCTCCGGCCTCATCCCACCAGCCTCTGCACCCCCTGCTGCCGCAGAGGCGACCCCTACTACACAATTGCAGCCGTCTGGACTCCCATGGGCACTCCGTGTGCGCAAACAGAAGTCCGCTCTCCCAGACCCTGTACCATCACATGTGGAGGCCGGGTCGGATGAAGACTCCGACGATGATGACTCCTTGGAGAATCAAGTTGAGCATGGTGGTGAACAGCGGCCTGCTGCAACCAGGGTTTCGCGAGCCGCTTTTGAGGCCGCGCAAGTGCAAATCCGACAACAGGCGCGACACATAGCTGAGTTGGAGAATCAGCAACCTCAGCAAAAAGGCCCTCATGCTGGCAGTCACGCCATGGTTCAGCGCCAGGCCAATATGCCCAGCCCTTCCCAACAGTTGCCGGTTGCACCCCAGCTTGCTCCTTCAACCACTCGACCTTGCACCCAGCCGAATGCAACACCGACCCTGATTTTCTCACCGGTGGTGTGGCCACGAACGCAGGCCGCTTTTAGCCGTGCTGTGGCAAAGGCCCACATCAGACGGCAGGCCATGGACTGCTCTGCAATGTCGCCACGGCAATGCGGGTGGTACAACAACGTCATCACGGCGTTAGATGCTTTCCCGGATGTGAACGGGGACCTTAAGGTGAGCAGCAACCCTTCGTTTCAACCTTCGTCGTGCTTACAAATGACATTAGCATTGGGTGCCTACATCCCCCACCCCGCAAACTCCTCATGCCACATACATTCACGCCCTCCCTTCCCTCCCCTGTTCTCTCTCCCACTCTGCCGTGTTGTGCACAATTTTTGTTGCTCTCCTGCAGGACCACGTGGATGAGGCTCTTGATATCATGTTTTTTGACACCACAGTCACTGATTTTCCCAATGTGGCCTAGTACCGAACGCCTAGAGGCGGCCCTGCGCAAGGCCCTAGGCCTCAATGAGCCGGAGGAGCATTTTATCGTGCGTATTGTTCTGAAAGCTGACAAGTACAGAAACGGCTACATTCGTGACATGATTCACGCGTATCGCAACGACGCATTGACGGATGGGCGCAATTGGGTGTACGACGACTTCGACTTGTACGTGCGACGGCCAAGGCTCGGTGGGAAGAAAGTAGGCACCCTCACGACAGTGCTGTTCTTGGACCAGTACGCTGAAAGTGAGTATGATTTAACACTCCTATCACACCCCCGCCCCTACCCCACCCCCGTTCCTCCCTCTCCTTCCAAATGAGAATGAAACCTTTTCAACCCTTCCACACTCTATTCTAGACAATGTGTTGTTGTAGTGTTTGGTTGAGGGCTTTCCTTCTTTCATTCCATGCGAAATGTCACAAATCCCCGTCAAATATACCCCTTTCCCAGCACATTCATTTTTTCCCCCATGCCCTTCCTCCACCCCACATCATAATCCTTCACTCTGTCAACATTTTAGCATCAGGCATCTTCTGCTTATCATTTGTCCCTTGTTCCCTGGTTCAGTGTTGCACCAACATCACCCTCCTCCTTCCCCCACCCCTACCCGTCTTCTTCTTCCCCCCACCACCTCCCCGTCCACCTTTCTCCTGTGTTCCGTCTTTCCTGCTAGTACCCTCCCTGACATCGCTTCCCCACAGCAGCAATCACTGTCTGTATGATCCCAGCCCAGCAGTCCCCGGTGTACCCTCTTTCCCTCCCTGATTTCCCCTCCCCACCCCAGCAGCAAGCAAAGCCAGCCAAGGCAGAGCCCAACAGTCCCCAGTGTACCCTCTTTCCCTCCCTGATTTCCCCTCCCCACCCTAGCAGCAAGCAAAGCCAGCCAAGGCAGAGCCCAACAGTCCCCAGTGTACCCTCTTTCCCTCCCTGATTTCCCCTCCCCACCCCAGCAGCAAGCAAAGCCAGCCAAGGCAGAGCCCAACAGTCCCCAGTGTACCCTCTTTCCCTCCCTGATTTCCCCTCCCCACCCCAGCAGCAAGCAAAGCCAGCCAAGGCAGAGCCCAACAGTCCCCAGTGTACCCTCTTTCCCTCCCTGATTTCCCCTCCCCACCCCAGCAGCAAGCAAGGCCAGCCAAGGCAGAGCCCAACAGTCCCCAGTGTACCCTCTTTCCCTCCCTGATTTCCCCTCCCCACCCCAGCAGCAAGCAAAGCCAGCCAAGGCAGAGCCCAACAGTCCCCAGTGTACCCTCTTTCCCTCCCTGATTTCCCCTCCCCACCCCAGTAGCAAGCAAGGCCAGCCAAGGCAGAGCCCAACAGTCCCCAGTGTACCCTCTTTCCCTCCCTGATTTCCCCTCCCCACCCCAGCAGCAAGCAAAGCCAGCCAAGGCAGAGTCCAACAGTCCCCAGTGTACCCTCTTTCCCTCCCTGATTTCCCCTCCCCACCCCAGCAGCAAGCAAAGCCAGGATAGGCCCAGCCTGCCAGTCCTATGTGTACCTTCCTTTTCCATTTTGCCTGTCTAATGCTTCACATTCCAACTGTTTCACAAAGTATCGTATCTTTCCCCTACGACACGACAGGCCCTGCATCGCTCAACATGCTTACTTGGCACATGAATGAGCGCCGTGTGCCGTTTGCATCACCTTGCTTCATAAATGCAATCAGCGCCTCATTCAAGCGCCCCCAAGGTCGCAGGCTTATTCTCCCGTTGAAGTTACTAGCGTTCTGGCTGAATGGGGTGAGTGCAGTTTGCTGCATCTGCTACATTCTTTTTAAGGATCTTCTCATGCAGAGACTAATCATGGTATTCCCTACAACCTCAGGTGGAGCACCGCGTCATCCACAGCAGTGATTTGCCGAGAAGCACCAACGACAACATCCGCGATGTGAACATTTATTATAACAAGATTTGGAACTGGACAAGAGCTGCAATTGGAGGAGCAACGGCCGCAAATGGTCCCTGGTGGCGGCCGGGTGTTGGGGCATGGTCGTTCGCGTGCAGCGATGTTGTTTTTATTAGTGATGAGGGTCTCTAAGGCCTAGTAGCTAGTGCTTTCACGTATTAGTTTTGGTGTTTTCAAAATGTAGCACTATTTGCTGTAGGTTTCCCTGCTTCTGGTATAACACTAATTAATAAATGTTCTTTTAATAAATAATTGAACATCAATAACGGCTCATTTAAAAAAGAATATAACTCATATTTTATATTGAAATATTAAGAACCCGAAATGTAGCGAATTTATTAATTTGCTGATTTATAACGAGATCTATGTAGCAGCACATCAATCGTATTACCTGCTCGATTAAAGCACTTCAAATTAGTCACAAATAGAATTTCGCGAAACAATGAAATATATATCGAATTTTACATTCTTTGCTCATCACCACATTTCGAAACTATCGTAGAGGGAAGGAGTTGGGATAACCATTGGCGGTCCAACAACGTTGGAGTGACGAATGGCCAATCCGAAGCTCCTCTAAAGTTGTGGTTCCTTCCTCAACTGAGGGATGCCCAATCGCACCAACTGTCGAACCAATACGAAATGGTCCGTGGTTGGTCCCTCGAAGTTGGGAATGTGCTGAGTGCGCTCTGCTCACAAACAGCTCGAAAAGCATAATAGCCACCAACATCAGCCATACTTTCCAAACCATTACGAGGAAGTAAGATTTCAAGTAACACTAGAGCAGAATTTCCGAACGACATTTTTTCGGATGCACTCGTCGATCGCCTACATCCAGACCTCACTCGGCGCACGGCGTGTCAGATTTATATGACATAGTTTCTGTAGGCTATAGTGGGGTAGCACATATGAGGTACAGGGTTTCTAGGGTTGTATTTGTACCCAATCTTCCTTCGTCATTTCATTCCTGTTCTCTTATCTTTCACATGGTATAAAGCGGGTCCTTCCTAAGGACCGTTTTTTTAGGGCCCACCGAAGCGCGCCCCGAGGCGCGCATTTTTTTTCGCGACCCTTCGGGTCGCCATTACTCTCGCGGCCCCGCTGTCCCTCTGACGCGGCCCCGCCACCCCTGCTTGACGCGGCCCCGCCGCCTCCTCTGCAGCGGCTCCGCCGCCTCCTCTGACGCGGCCCCGCCGCCCGCTGATCGCTGCCCCGCCGCCGGCTCTGACGCGGCCCCGCCGCCGGCTCTGACGCGGCCCCGCCGCCCGCTGATCGCGGCCCGCCGCTGGCCCTGACGCGGCCCCGCCGCCGGCTCTTAGCCGGCCTCGCCGCCGGCTCCAACGCGGCCCCGCCGCCCGCCTCGACGAGGCCCCGCCGCCGGCTCTGACGCGGCCCCGCCGCCACCTCCTGATCGCGGCCCCGCCCCGGCTCTCTCGCGGCCTCGCCGCCGGCCCTGACGCGGCCCCGCCCCGGCTCTCACGCGGCCCCGCCGCCGGCTCTCTTGCGGCCCTGCCGCCGGCTCTGACGCGGCCCCGCCCCGGTTCTTTCACGCGGCCCTGCCGCCCCACCTGCAGCAGCCGAGCCGCCCTGTCGCCGAGCCCCCCGGGAGCCGAGCCGCCCTGCCCCCGAGCCGCCCTGCCCCCGAGCCGCCCTGCCGCCGAGCCGCCCGGGAGTCGAGCCGCTGTGCACCCGAGCCGCCCGGTCGCCGAGCCGCCTTTCTGCAGAGCTGCACGACCTGCCCTGCCTGGTGAGCACAGTCCCACTGCCACTGCGAGCTCTTTCCCTACTGCTTGCACTGCTTCGCTGTCGTCGCCATGGCTACCCCTAGTGTCCTAGCTTTTGACGCTGAGGGTCGCGCCATTGATTTTGAGGTCTGGTTAGACGACCTGCAGCTGTTCTTACAGTGCGACAGAGCAGACAGCCTTTCTCTCTTTGACCTCACCTCTGGCGCCTCTCCTGCTCCTGCTGCTGATGCTGATCCCACTGTCCGCTCTAAGTGGGCCACCCGCGATGCTGCTGCACGTCTTGCTGTGCGTCGCCACCTCCCTACCTCTGAGCGTGCGCACTTTAGTCAGTACAAGAGTGCTCAGACCTTGTACGACGATGTAGTTGCGCGCTACTCCTCCCCTGCCACTGCTGCACTGAGCCGTCTCATGCTTCCCTACCTCTTTCCTGACCTCTCTGCCTTTCCCACTGTCGCTGACCTCATTACGCACCTCCGCACTAGTGACACTCGCTACCGCGCCGCCATTCCTGCTGAGTTCTGCGCTAAGAACCCCCCCCCCATGTACATCACTCTCTACTACGTAGTCGCGCGCCTCCCTGACTCCCTTCGCGTAGTCAGGGACCACTTTCTCGCTGTCTGTCCCACCACCCTCACCGTCGACGTCCTCGAGAAGGCCCTCCTCGCGGCGGAGAAGAGCATCGTCGCTGTAGGAGCTTCTCGTGGTGACCCTCGCACCCCCATCTTTGAGGGGTGCTCTCCTTCCCCCTTGCTGCCCTCTGTTGCCTCTGCTGCTGCTGCCGACCTGCTTGGTCTTGAGTCGGTCGGCGCGGCGTCTGCCCCTAGTGGGAGACGTCGCTCTAGCAAGGGCAAGGGGGGCAAGGGTGCAGGTGGAGCTGGAGGGGGCGGTGGCGGTGGCGGCGGTGGCGGCGGAGGGAGTGGGGGTGGCGGCGGGAGTAGTGGCGGGGGTGGTGGTGGTGGTGGCAGCAGCGGCGGCGACGGTGGTGGTGGTGGCGGAGGTGGTGGTGGTGGCAGCGGCGGAGGTGGAGGCGGCGGAGGTGGAGGCGGTGGAGGCGGCAGCGGAGGAGGCGGTGGTGGTGGAGGGGGTTTCTAGAGTTGTATTTGTACCCAATCTTCCTTAGTCATTTCATTCCTGTTCTCTTATCTTTCACACGGCGGCCAACAACTAAACGGCGAGTTGTGGGAGCGCGTGGCGGCATCGCCGTTCGCAGCTGAGGCGCGATTGTGGGAGACGGCACTATACGTGAACGACGACACCCATGCTTCGTGGCGCACATCTAGCTGTAGGCGAATAGGGCCTAGGTACTAAATCGGGAATGATTATGTGGATGACCTG